TTGCTCCTGTCTCCAGTATGGGGAAGGGGCTGCTACTCTGGCAATTGCTCCTGGCCTGAGCATAGGGAAGGGTCATCTGCTTTGCAATTGCTTCTGGTTGGATGTGGGGAAGGGCTGCTGCTTTTGCAATTGCTGCCTGCTCGGACGTGGGGAGGGTGCTGCTGCTTTGCAATCCAGCTGTGAGCTCGGATAATCTGGGCTGGCCAGCACAGAAGGGAGCCGGGATGCAGAGGAAGTTTCTGGACAGTCCAGAACAGTCTGGAATGTGGAAGAACCACAGCCTGGAACCACAGACTTGGTGCCAAGGTCCAAAAATCCCCCCGAGGTTGGGCCGGGGCAGCGGCAGAGCGGGGCTGCCCTTGCCGGGACTGGTGTTGGCCTCACGACGAGAGCGGAGCACGGCACTGTGCGCGGCACAAGGACGCGGCGAGGCAGGACCCACCTATCCGATAGGTCTAGGGACCGCCTGCTCTCAAGGGAGCGCTGGCGGCYGCTCCGCCCGCTCCACTCGGGCGCGGACTCGGCGTCGCGGCGCCCACGGGCGGCAGAGTCTACGCTACCGTAGCGTCTGCCGGGGAGGAGAGGAACACGGTGAGCAGGGCCCGGCRCGCGCCCGCCGCGGCGCCCTCGGCGTGCAAGCGTGGGGACGGAGCAGCCCTGYGGCTCTGCTGCAGCCCGGCCGCCTCCCGGGGACGAGGGACTCGGAAAGGGGACCCAAAGGAGCACGGAAACGTCTCTGCCTTTCAAACCCCCTCCCCAAAATCACCTGGGGAGGGAGGGCAGYGGGGACACCACTCATGCCCACACCCTCCTGCCCCTCTTGCGTCCTCCTCCGCCTCGGAGGGGTGTCCCCTGGGGTCCCTGGCGCCAGCGCTACCTCATGGGGCGCTGGTCCGAATAGTCCATCTCGTAGCTCTGCATGGAGTCGGTGTAGGAGTCGCGGGAGCTCTGCTGCTGCGGCCGCACGGGGTACTGGTGCACGGAGGCGTTGGGCTGCGACGTGGTGTAGTAGGGCGGCGGGATGCTGTTGCTGGTCTCGCTGCGATAATCGCTGTCCCGGTCGTCCACGGTGCTGTCGGGGTCATCATCTGCAAGAGGGCGGGTGGCGGCGGGGATGGAGCGGGGACAGCCCTGCTGTTGCCACCACTCTGTCCCCAGCTCGGCGGGACGGGGCTGGGGGGCATGGGGAGGGGGACATGCCATGGGGGCAGGATTGAATGCCACGGCAAGGCGCCTGAGGGAGCAAAACAAGGAGAGCCGCCGCATACTCACTCTGCTGTTCTCCCCAGCCAAAATAATTCCAGTTGCCTGTGGAGGAAAGGGGCAGAGACGATAAAGATGGAGGTGGCACCAGGGTGGCCACATGAGTGGGACAGGCCGTGGGGTCGGCAGCCTCATGCCTGGCACTTACAGCACTGGGAGCCGTGGACGGGCAGAGGCTTCTCCTGCTCCTCCTGGAACGCATACTGGAGGGGACGGTGTCGGATCAGGGTGGGATGCGCCCCGGGCCCCTCCGCAGCCCCCAGCCCCCTCCAGCCCTCACTTACATCGTCCTGGTCCCGCATGGCGTTGAGCTGCTCCAGCTTCTTGGCCCAGTACCGGGCCTCTTCCTCGGGGATATCTGCAAGGGGACAGACCCGGTCTGTGGGACAGATCCCGCATCCCCAGCACATCCCGCCTGGCTCTGCCCTGGGGGGGCCCTGGCAGCACCTCCAGGCTGGGGGAGGACGAGGGATGCRGGCGCTGGTACCTACCCAGCGGGAGCTCGAAGCGGGTGTCCAGGAGGATGCGGTGGAAGGTGGGGTCCTTGGTGCCCGAAATCTCGTTGTCTGTCATGATGACTTGGGAGTCGAGCGTGAGCCATTCCCCGGGACCCTCCTGCGGGGGCGAGGAGCGGCTCAGGGGTGCTGCCCAGGCCAAGGCCACCTGCACCAGCCCAGCCTGGTCCCCAAAGCCCTGGTGCCCAGGGCAGGGGAGGACACAGCCTGGGGCCTCCCCCCGCCGCCTACCTCGTTGGACTGCCGGATGGTCCGGAGGGGGATCCACACGGTGCCCACCATKGTGTCCCAGATGAGCCCCTTGTTCCAAACCTCCACCGTCAGCCCCAGGTCCAGCCGGTTGATCTCACTGTGAGGAAGGGGTGCATGGTCACCTCCTGCCAGCCTGGCAAGCTCCAGGGACCCCCTCTCCTGCCCCTTGCAGCTCCCCACGCTGGTCCTCAGCCCCGAGGGGTCTCAGGGATGTCCCTCCCAGGATGGACACTGTGGGCTCCCCTCAATGCTCCGCAGCAGGGAAAGGGGGAATCCAGGATAAGCCGGTAGCTCTGCAGGCTCCCGGTGCCCCAGGGTGAGGAGGGGTCCGGGGGGCACTCACAACATGAAGTCCTGCTCCCAGGAGGGCAGGTTGCCCCGCACGGCGATGGTCGTGCTCTTGACATTCTGCACCTTGAGCGTCACGTAGGTGTTGAACTTCTCTGCGGGAAGGAGCCGAGGGTGACGCCAGCCCTCGGTGGGGCACGAGGGGCCCCGCCGCCACCAGCCCCATTTCCCCATGTCCCTGGGAGTCCCAATCCCTGCTCCTTACAGGGACCAGGAGCTGAAATGGAGCCTGGCACCCCCTTGCCACCACCCAGCCCTTGAAATGAGACCCCTGTCCCGGACCCCCCCGGATGGGGCCACTCACCTTGGGGCCCGTCAAACTTGGCCTTTTTAACTGCAGAGAGACACAGAGAGAGGAGGGAGTCACTATGGTGCCAGCACCAGGGACTGGGGACCCCCAGGAAGGGCCCCTGTGCGGTGTGGGGGGAGGACCCCCAGATCTGCCCCCCCCAGGCACCCATTGACTTGGGCTCACCGCACCAGGGGGACATGGGGACCCTACACTGCCCCCATCCCCATCTCTGCCCCAGTGTCCCAGTGGTACCAGTGGCACAAGGGCAGAGGGCACTGAGAGCTGCGCGGCTGGGGGCAATCGGGCAACAAGTGTTTGGYGGTGGCGGGGAGGCCAAGACCCCCAGTGCTGCCCACGGCACGATGGCACCAGCCCCGGCTCAGAGGAGGGGCCCGGGGGGGTCAGGGGGGATGACACAGCACCCGGGCAAGTGACGCGGGCGTCCGCGGGAGGACGGTGACAGCCGAGGCTGAAAATAGCCCAGGCGACATCACGGGCTGGCGCCACCTCCGTGCAGCGACCCCGGGGCCAGGCAGAGACGGAGGCTGGAAAGGCTCCAAAAACCCCGGTCGGAGAGGAGCGCCGGGAGCACCGGGCTCTCGCGGACATCAGTGCCCAATGGCACCAGCACCGGCTCCRTGGGGAACCCGCGGGGGGACTTCAGGAAAGGTTGAACTCCATGAGACGGACCGGGCCAAGGGGTTGGTCCRGCCACCCCAGCCCTTGTCCACCCATCCCAGCCCTTGTCCATCCACCCATCCCATCAGCTCTCCCTTCATCCCAGCCCTGCCACTGGAAGCACCGCGGGGGGGGGCTGCTCCCGCGGGGCTGCCCCTGGCGCCCCCAGCCTATTTCCAGCCGGGAATGAGCTATTTTTCGCCAGCCGCCCCCGGCTCCCTGGCAGCTCCCCACGTTATTCCGAGCCGCTCCGAGGGTGTCGCCGCGCGTGACAGTCCCCGGCGGCGCCCGCGCCACTGTCGCGCCATTAAAGGCAGGTTCCCCCGCGGCAACGCTGCAAAGCGCCTGCGTGTCCCCGGTCCCCCCACGCAAGAACCCTGGCTGGGGTGGGGGCCGCGCAGCAAGGGACCCCCCCCCCGGCCACCCTGCTCTGGGGACAGGGGGGCTGCCCCCCCCCATACACACAGGGACACCGGGGTCGGGGCAGGTTGTGACCTGCCGCGGGTGCTGCAGACGGGGGTACTCCAGAACAGGGGACAATATCTGGATGGGGCCAGGGGGGGCCCTGGATCAGGCCCCTCCCAGGCTCCCCCCACCCTCACAAGCTGTTTTGGGCACCTGTCCCACTAGCGCGACCCACCCCCCC